TATATTATTTCACATTTCTATAATATTTCACATTTCTATTTCGACTCTAAATTAACATTCTCTTCGCTGCCTTTCTATCTAGTATTCTATTTTCTAAATTATCATAATTATAACGGCTATATTACTGTTGGTTATGAGATTATATTTCTATTACTGATAACATTTATTATTCATTTTATATTTATTGTGATACTGATTGTCGTAATAATTATTTTCCTTTACGCATTCAAGACAAGGTTGTTTTAGTCTCCCCAGGACAACATTCAAGGTTGTTTTAGTCTCCCCAGGACAACATTCAAGGTTGTTTTAGTCTCCCCAGGACAACATTCAAGGTTGTTTTAGTCTCCCCAGGACAACATTCAAGGTTGTTTTAGTCTCCCCAGGACAACATTCAAGGTTGTTTTAGTCTCCCCAGGACAACATTCAAGGTTGTTTTAGTCTCCCCAGGACAACATTCAAGGTTGTTTTAGTCTCCCCAGGACAACATTCAAGGTTGTTTTAGTCTCCCCAGGACAACATTCAAGGTTGTTTTTAGTCTCCCCAGGACAACATTCAAGGTTGTTTTAGTCTCCCCAGGACAACATTCAAGGTTGTTTTAGTCTCCCCAGGACAACATTCAAGGTTGTTTTAGTCTCCCCAGGACAACATTCAAGGTTGTTTTAGTCTCCCCAGGACAACATTCAAGGTTGTTTTAGTCTCCCCAGGACAACATTCAAGGTTGTTTTAGTCTCCCCAGGACAACATTCAAGGTTGTTTTAGTCTCCCCAGGACAACATTCAAGGTTGTTTTAGTCTCCCCAGGACAACATTCAAGGTTGTTTTAGTCTCCCCAGGACAACATTCAAGGTTGTTTTAGTCTCCCCAGGACAACATTCAAGGTTGTTTTAGTCTCCCCAGGACAACATTCAAGGTTGTTTTAGTCTCCCCAGGACAACATTCAAGGTTGTTTTAGTCTCCCCAGGACAACATTCAAGGTTGTTTTAGTCTCCCCAGGACAACATTCAAGGTTGTTTTAGTCTCCCCAGGACAACATTCAAGGTTGTTTTAGTCTCCCAGGACAACATTCAAGTTTGTTTTAGTCTCCCCAGGACAACATTCAAGGTTGTTTTAGTCTCCCCAGGACAACATTCAAGTTTGTTTTAGTCTCCCCAGGACAACATTCAAGGTTGTTTTAGTCTCCCCAGGACAACATTCAAGGTTGTTTTAGTCTCCCCAGGACAACATTCAAGGTTGTTTTAGTCTCCCCAGGACAACATTCAAGGTTGTTTTAGTCTCCCCAGGACAACATTCAAGGTTGTTTTAGTCTCCCCAGGACAACATTCAAGTTTGTTTTAGTCTCCCCAGGACAACATTCAAGTTTGTTTTAGTCTCCCCAGGACAACATTCAAGTTTGTTTTAGTCCCCCCAGGACAACATTCAAGGTTGTTTTAGTCTCCCCAGGACAACATTCAAGGTTGTTTTAGTCTCCCCAGGACAACATTCAAGGTTGTTTTAGTCTCCCCAGGACAACATTCAAGGTTGTTTTAGTCTCCCCAGGACAACATTCAAGGTTGTTTTAGTCTCCCCAGGACAACATTCAAGGTTGTTTTAGTCTCCCCAGGACAACATTCAAGGTTGTTTTAGTCTCCCCAGGACAACATTCAAGTTTGTTTTAGTCCCCCCAGGACAACATTCAAGGTTGTTTTAGTCTCCCCAGGACAACATTCAAGGTTGTTTTAGTCTCCCCAGGACAACATTCAAGGTTGTTTTAGTCTCCCCAGGACAACATTCAAGGTTGTTTTAGTCTCCCCAGGACAACATTCAAGGTTGTTTTAGTCTCCCCAGGACAACATTCAAGGTTGTTTTAGTCTCCCCAGGACAACATTCAAGGCTGCTTTAGTCTCCCCAGGATAACATTCAATGCTGCTTTAGTCTCCCCAGGACAACATTCAAGGCTGCTTTAGTCTCCCCAGGACAACATTCAAGGCTGCTTTAGTCTCCCCAGGACAACATTCAAGGCTGCTTTAGTCTCCCAGGACAACATTCAAGGCTGTTTTAGTCTCCCCAGGACAACATTCAAGGCTGCTTTAGTCTCCCCAGGACAACATTCAAGGCTGCTTTAGTCTCCCCAGGACAACATTCAAGGCTGCTTTAGTCTCCCCAGGACAACATTCAATTCTGTTTTAGTTTCCCCAGGACAACATTCAAGGTTGTTTTAGTCTCCCCAGGACAACATTCAAGGCTGCTTTAGTCTCCCCAGGATAACATTCAATGCTGCTTTAGTCTCCCCAGGACAACATTCAAGGCTGCTTTAGTCTCCCCAGGACAACATTCAAGGCTGCTTTAGTCTCCCCAGGACAACATTCAAGGCTGCTTTAGTCTCCCCAGGACAACATTCAAGGCTGTTTTAGTCTCCCCAGGACAACATTCAAGGCTGCTTTAGTCTCCCCAGGACAACATTCAAGGCTGTTTTAGTTTCCCCAGGACAACATTCAAGGCTGCTTTAGTCTCCCCAGGACAACATTCAAGACAGGGCTGCTTTAGTCTCCCCAGGACAACATTCAAGGCTGCTTTAGTCTCCCCAGGACAACATTCAAGGCTGTTTTAGTCTCCCCGGGACAACATTCAAGGCTGCTTTAGTCTCCCCAGGACAACATTCAAGACAGGGCTGCTTTAGTCTCCCCAGGACAACATTCAAGGCTGCTTTAGTCTCCCCAGTACAACATTCAAGACAGGGCTGCTTTAGTCTCCCCAGGACAACATTCAAGGCTGCTTTAGTCTCCCCAGGACAACATTCAAGGCTGCTTTAGTCTCCCCAGGACAACATTAGCGTAAATCTCTACTGAAAAGCGTCTCTCTTTCACCTTAACATTCAGAGAAATTAAGGAGCCTCTTTTTCTCACCTAATAATTCCTATTCCTTCTCAGTGACATAAAAGATCATCATTACGTAGCACTGAGACTTATGTACCTCCAGGCCTGGTGCTAATTGGTGCTCCTAACACCTCACCTTAGTAGGGTAGACGTGTGTGTGTATATACGAGGAACTACGTGTGCTAGGGAATTTATGTGTACAGGAGGAACTACGTATGTGTTTGTGTACACGAGGAACTTGTGTGTACAGAATGAACGTGTGTACTGGAGGAACGTGTGTATAAGAGGAACTACGTGTGTGAGGGAGTGTATGTGTACAGGAGCAACGTGTGTGTGTATGTGTGTACTGGAGCAACGTGTGTGTGTGTGTGTGTACAGGAGCAACGTGTGTGTGTGTGTGTACTGGAGCAACGTGTGTGTGTGTGTGTACTGGAGCAACGTGTGTGTGTGTACTGGAGCAACGTGTGTGTGTGTACTGGAGCAACGTGTGTGTGTGTACTGGAGCAACATGTGTGTGTGTGTGTGTACTGGAGCAACATGTGTGTGTGTACAGGAGGAACGTGTGTACAGAAGGAACCTCGGTTCCTGCCTCAGCCTCTAGACCGGTACTGGGCTCACGTCTAGCTTCCTCAACCATAGCATACCCATTCTTAAAGCTTTGTATAGATCCTGCCTTTACTCCTTAGTTGCATGTATTTTTTTTTTTGCGTGTGTGTGTTTAAGTTAATGTATGTGTGTGTATTTCTGCTCATGTGCGTGGTGTGGTTCATGAAAAGACTGTGGGTGTGGCATCGTTAACTGGCCCACACTTCAGCACAGAGAGACTTCAAATGGATTTCTATACGCTGGCTTGCAGCCTGATTCTCTGATAGGGAGGGGTGACTAGTCTCTCTCTCTCTCTCTCTCTCTCTCTCTCTCTCTCTCTCTCTCTCTCTCTCTCTCTACCATACTAGTAAAATATACGATATACTTTGTTTACAGTTCAGTCCCATTCAACTTTATGATTCCCGTATAACTTAAAGTTCCTATCAGTTGTCGCAAGATTATCGTTAACATGTGCTGCGGCCTGATATCTAAAAAAAAAAAAAAATCAATAAATAAACACAGAGGAATTTCAGTATGTCGAGGCGGTCAAAAAGAATTTATTATAATTAACGTAAATTATAAATGATAATCTAACGCTCTTGTTATTAGCATGGTAATCTAACGCCTCCATTAGTACCATGGTAATCAACAACGTCGTTACTACCATGGTAATTAACGTTCTCATTACTACCATGGTAATTAACGCCCTCGTTACTAGTATGGTAATCTAACAACCTCGTTACTACCATGGTAATCAACACCCTCGTTACTCCCATAACAATAACAAGCTCATTACCTGGCCAGTAAACAAACTGCTAAAATTATATCCAACTGCCTTTAATATGTTCACAACAATCTGGTCCGGATGCGCGAAATAAAAGCCAGCGAAAAAAAATGATGGGCGTTTAACAGCTGACAAAGACAGCAGCTGTCTTCTTCCTGTCAACTAAAAACACGACTGTCAGAAAACAACAGCCAGTCGAAGACAGGAGAATGTCTGTAGAAAGACGACAGCTTCATGTAAAGTCAAGTTAAAATGTCTTTCGCAACTTAATGGATGCCCCAAAAGGTTCTATTTACCTTTAAAAGGCCATATTAAATGTCCTATTCAGCTTGAAGGTCATATCCAATATGAAGGTCATTTTTAAGGTCAGTTAACTTTAAGGTCCCTCAGTTTTCAATAGTTCGTGCAACAAGTTTTGAGACTATGAAAAAGGACGGGGGAGGGAGGTAGCAGCAGCAGCAGCACCACCACCAGCACCAGCACCAGCAGCACCAGCAGCACCAGCAGCACCAGCAGCAGCAGCAGCACCAGCACTTTGGCCTTGTAGGTCACCCAACGACACAATAATGTGCAACATACATAATAAAACGATAGGTAAAATTAACGAACAATAAAAGCTACAAACGTGAATAAAACGTTAAACACGAATAAATACTATCACAGTTAACATAACCAGCATCTTCAGTTACAAGACTATCCTAAAGTTTCCCCGAGGTCCCTACAGGAACCTCGGTAGTTGTAAACATCACGACGGAGAGAGAATACCGGAAGTTATCTTACCTGACTGCAGCAGTATGGTGAAGAGAAATGGAGAAATGTTAGATTTCTTCATCTTAAGAACAAATTTATATCCTCGCATGTCCCCCGTGTGTGTGACAGAGGACCAGGTGACAAACTTGCTCCACTAAACCTTCATTGTCAACCTGTTCGAAAGGAGAAAATAATATACATTAGTTTCATTAAAGTTATCATAAAGTTTATAAAATGTCTATTCTCTCGTAAATGCATTAGAAGTTTCTCGTGAGAAACAGATTAGTTTGTGTTAAGACCTATAGGCCTGGGGTCCCCAGCCTGAGGCCCGCATGTGGCTCTTCTATCAATTATTATAATCAATGGGGAGCGTTAAACCCGAAGGATTATACAGTGTCTGTGGGGGGGGGGATGTGGAAGGTATTCAGGCTTAATTCAGGGAACTGGAGCCCATATCCAATCCCCTAGATCAAGAGCCCCTCACCAACGTCAAGGAACCTTCCCTGAGGGGCCTTCTTGGAAATGGATGCGGCCCCTCGCACGAAATTATATAATCACTTCTAGTGTGGATTCCACACAGAACAGTGTCAACAATTACAACATTGTTAATGTTTATACAAATTAGAAAATTTTGATTATTATTATTATTATAATCAAAAAGAAGCGCTAAGCCACAAGGGCTATGCAGCTGAAAATTTTGAAAATACCGCCCTCCTTTAAATTTGGCTTTTCAAATTGGACCTTTTCATACTAAAATGATGGGGACTACTGATATAGACTAGTAGTGGTAGCAGGTGACATGCACCTGCATGTCACCTATTCACCAGGTGACATGCAGGTACAAAAGTTGGTTACCTTTACTTCTGCAATCTTTCCTTTAGTCTGATACAGACCCTACATAATGGGCGACTTAAAAATCAACTGTATTCGACTGATAGAGCCTGCTGAGCAGGCGATAATGTTCCACGATGATCATACCCAATTATTGCACTTGTGTCTGACAAGACACTTATAGGTATTGGTTTATAAAAACACGTGAGAAAACATTAGGACATTAGAAAACGTTTCTGTCCTGGGACCGAAACATTAGCCTTATCGTACCTTTTCTTAAACCTATGCATTTTAGATTGTTCACTTCCTGACAACTCTGGCTGAAGAAGTACTTCCTAACATCCCTATGTGTAATCAATTCGTTTATTTGTTTAATATTCTTATTTAAGCTTTTATCGTTGTTAATTAAAAGCAGCTATGCCCCACACTCTCCAACCCACCGGAAACAATTATTCTCTGCACCGGAAGAAAGAACTTCCGGCCCAGACTGCCTGCTGGCACCACCTCCTGAAGAGAGCATCCCCTCCCCCTCCGCTGCTCAGAGTTCCAGACCTAGGACACAGTTACCTGCCCTCTTCTCCTTTTAACTTTTAATTAAACACAGAGGCAATCGCGCACACATTACGAAAAATATAACGTGTGAATATTTAGTGGCCAGAGTGTATATAAAAATTATATTTTTGAGTTTGGGTGTATACACGTGGTGATGTGTAGCCATTAATGGTGAACCAGGCCAAATTTTCATGAAAATTAAATGTTTCGTTGCTGAGGGACTGATTACCTCAGACTCCTCCTGATTGTCACCACTCCTTGTATTGGACTGATGAAGCCACTGTGTGGCGAACCGTTTCCTCAGTAAAGATACCCAGGGGTTCCACATGTCATTTATGAATAAGGGTTATTTTCTGTGTACAGGAAACCTACACTAGCCAATAATGTAATTAATGATGTAGTGGTGAGTGTAGGCTCACCACTAATGTAATTAGTGGCGAGTGTAGGCTTCCTGTACACAGAAAATAACCCTTGTTGATAAATGACATGTGGAACCCCTGGGTATCTTCACCGAGGAAACGGTTCGCCACACAGTGGCTTCATCAGTCCAATACAAAGAATAGTGAAAATCAGGAGTCTGAGGTAATCAGTGTGGAACCAAACTTTATTGGTGGTTCTGCTGAGCGAGGTTCAATAATAAGTCTTCGGAGGCTTCTTACTTTATTTGCAAAGTTGTGGTGGGTACACAGGCTTGTATGTTTGTGCCCATGGCCCGGGAGGGCCATGCCCGCGAGGGAGAGAGGAGTGGACTGAGTGACGGGTGTCGACAGAGTGAGAGCGAGTGGGACCAGCGTCCCACCGACCTGGGCAGGCCTAGAGAGGGCAGCACCTGAGTGAAAAATATGAACTAAGCTGGCAGTTCAGGCTGTCTACATCAGTCCCTCCAATTATCTTCAATTTTTCAATGCTAATTTTTAATTGCGTTGGAATATGCCACACACTACATTATTCATGTTGCGTGCACTGAGATACAAGGAACTGAGGTAACACAAGATGGGGATACCTTAATAAGCTGGATGGCGAAACGTCTACGATGGTGATGCCCGGGTATTGTGCATGTGTCTTAATTTCATCTTGTCGGTATTATATACAATTCTTGTACTACTACTACTACTACTACTACTACTGCTACCTCCACCTCTTCCTGCCTATATATAGCCGTCCTTCTCCACCTCTGTTAGTGTGACTTTGTCAATGGTCCAAGTCGGACCGAAACGTCGTCGTAAGCTTCTCTCTTTTATGTGCGGGTTATTTGTGTATACATATAAGCACAGTTATACAGTAGCACGAGTGCAAATACCTACCTAGGATAACCTCCAAACTATCATTCAGTGCGACTTACTGTCATCGGGAGGCGTCGTTTGTCGCTCGCTGAGTGATATTACATTTAGTTCCTGTAGTTTAGTTCATGAAGTCTTGTCTGATACCTAACCGCAGAGGCCAACGATCCTGCAGTCATTACCAGAATCATTAACAGATATAAAGAGCGGTAATGAGGAGTCGCCTCACTCCCAGCCGGGCATCACAGATCAGCGGAACAGCGGTCTGAACACCGGCCTTGCCAGACGGAAATCAATAATAAGAGAATCTGTTCGTTCGTAGAGACTGGACGTATTTCCACCCTGGCGATGTTGATGTTAACTACAGCAGTAAACCAGAGGAATTACCCAGAGGCACTCCGGACCTGGATGAACTATGATGCAAGTTGCAGTACACTGAAACTGCACTGAAGTGTTCATTACAATTCGCTCATGGCAGAACGTTATTAAACACACTGATATACGGTCTTACATGGCCGTGCATCTATAAGGTCAGGGGGAGACATAACCCAAACAATATGCATATAACAAAGATATATAAAACGACAACACACATTTACAAGTCACACTAACACAAGTTGGACCGAAACGTCGTCATAAACGTTCTAGTAACGATATTTTACCTTTCTGTTCTTCAACGTCGATAAGTAGATGAGTAAGTTGTATACAACAGCCGTGTCTCATGACCTTACTTGTGACCTCGCCCGAGGCTGACCTTTTCAAGGTAGCGTATAAACGTGTATTCGTGTACTTGATGAAGTTCCATTCCCGGGTTAAACGTTAAACGTCGATAAAACATAGTAATAAAAGTTTCACACATATAGGGTGTCTTATTCACCCTATGTAACATTACCCCAATGAAAAGCAGAAGCGCCACGAGTACACTGAGGGACAACATTAAGTGTCAGCGGCCCAAGACTGTTCAACTGCTTCCCAGCATTCATAAGGGGGATTACCAATAGACTTCTGACTGTTTTCAAGAAGGCACTGGAGAGGCCCCTAAAGTTAGTACCTGACCAGCCAGGCTGTGGTTCGTACGTCAGTTTCCGTGTGGTCAGCAGTAACAGCCTGGTTTATCAGACCCTAATCCACCACGAGGCCTGGTCTCGGACCGGGCCGGGGGGGCTTTGACCCCCAAAACCCTCTCCAGGTATTCTCCCTAGTCCTCTCCCTCCCTAGGTCTGGTCCTACTCAGCGAGAGGAACGATAAACGAACCCCTGAAATCGGGTTTATCGGCACCGAATCATTATCGAACCCAGTCAAACCGAACCAAATAAAAAACTAGCAGAACCAAAGCTAATCTAACCCAGCTTCAACGATCCATATCGGTTAGGTTAGGTAAGGCTTGTCAGGATACAGGACAAGTGTTTCCTGACGTGGGTTATATGATGACTCGCAGCTAGAGCTTTCGGTCTTCTGACCGAGGCCTTATCGAACCCAACCTAACCCAGCTTAAAACTAGCAAAATATTTTTTTCAGATCACGATGCTATTAACGTAACAAACATTAAATACCAAGGTAGCACTAACAATTACATTAAAGATTAGTAATTTAAAAAAAAATTACTTAATTTTTAACAACTGCGATCAAATAACGTTGTCAGCAATGATGTTAACACAAACATTAATGTTAGAGAGTAACATTCCACCGAACGTAAATACAGCATTAACATGGAACCCGCTTGTTACCAACACCCGAGACTCGCTTAATTAATGAGTGCTTGGCTGGCCTGTAATAGTCAGGCTCACTGCTCCCACACCGATCACAGTGTTTATTTTCATTTTACCTGTTTGTTGAGTGAGGAGTGACGCTGTGATGGAGTGTTTAACTAGTTTTTTTTTTTACTTCAGGAGTTGCTGAATTGACTGAAGCGAGAAATCTGATAGATGGTACTGTCTGTTTCGTTTGTCTAAGGGATTGACAGACAGTGTTTCGCTTGTCCGACTGTCAGTCTGTTTCGTTTGTTTGATGAACCGATTCATTCTTTCATCTGTTTAACTGACATAGTATATTCCGTTTTGCTGTTTAATTGATTCTGTTCCTGTTGAATGGTGGAACCGACGCTCTTTCGACTGATTTACATGGGCCTCAGGATGTACGCTTGGGGGACCCCTTTTATGACTCTTTCCCAAAGTTGAGGCTTTTACCCCTCATCATGACTGTCTTCTAGCACTTAGCAACTCCTCGTTAAGGATTTATGCTGCTTTCCTGTCACACTTGCTTATACTGTGATTTCTACATGCATTTCTGGCGAGGTACAGTGTCGCATACTTTCTGGCAGTCAAAGAAAATGCAGTTTACCCATCCCTCTGGTTTCCTCTCAGCTGATGTGCTGAACTGAGCTGCTGACTCCACGACTGGTGTACTCACCTAATTGTGGTTGCAGGGGTCGATATTCAGCTCCTGGCCCTGCCTGTGTGTGTGTGTGTGTGTGTGTGTGTGTGTGTGTGTGTGTGTGTGTGTGTGTGTG